TGTGTGGGGGGGGATGGAAACGGGCTCTCCGGGCGTGGGGAGGGGCTGGAGTGGAAGGTGGGAAGCAGGTGGGGGAGGGGGGCGCTGGGCCGGGACCCCACGAAGGGGAGGGGTGTCCTCCTGGGACGGGACCCCCGAGGCCTGGCGCTGCTCTCCCCGCAGGGTCGTGTGTCCACGACGGCGCGGCCTCCCCGGCAGCTGCCCGGGGTCCTGCAGCGGTGGGCTTGGCGGAGAAGTGGATTCGGGGGGCTTCCCGCAGTACCTTCCCCACCGCGTCACCCGCCCCCTTGGCGGCCTGTCCGCGCACCCTGGGCAGCCCTGAGCGGGACGAGCCGACGGCGGGGGTTCCTGCACACGCACACACACACACACACACGCTTTCCTTTTTTCATCGCGAGTGACCTTGAACGCATTCCGCAAGCATTTGCTGAGATTAATTGCTGGGCGCGGAAACTGCGCAGTGCCTTGGGTTTGGCTGTATTCGCCCCTCCAGTTGGGGATGCGTTCTCGACTTCACTGGGTTCGGTTTTAGTGAGGGCCTCAGCAGTAAATGCTACGGAATAGGCACCCCCAGATCTGTTTACGCAGTTGCATTACATTTATTTGCTTTTTAAAGATGATTTGTGGATTGGGATTCCTGGTTTTGGAGAGGGTTTTCCATGCATGTTGAAGTAGCAAATACCAATTTGCTGTATGTCAAAAAGCAACACAAGATACATTTAACTGTTTTAAAGGATTGCTCTGTATAACATGACGTGTGTCGAAGACGACATACCTATCAAGATGCGGATACCTATGTAACTTCTGTTGGAATTTTCTGGAAAGAACTCTGCAGTCTGAAAGGATTGATGGAGCGTACAGTAACTGCTTCCTACATAGCTTTGTTAGGAAGTGAAAATCAAAACTGCACTTGTGGGTGTATACCAGGACTGGTTGAGTTTGTGAATTCTTAGAGGTTGTGAACTTTCAGAGACTGAAATTTCAGATGGGGGTCAAGTGAAATGAGGCTTCTGGCCCCGCCTCCCACTGCCGTAATTAACGGGAAAATAGCAAAAAATTAGAGTACCTACTAATTTACAGAACCTTTATTATCAGACTTGATAATTATATGTAATAGTTGCTAAATATGTTTGTGTCAGTTATAGATAGTAGGTTACTATTAAAATGCTGTGAAATGGGTAAGGAAAAGGGGCCTTCAGCCTGTGATTAAATTAGAATTTTTCTTTTAAAGATTTTAGATGATCCCTGGAATTTTGATAGCACTGTTTCTTACAGTACCTTTATTTACCAACTCAGAACACAGTAACAGTATTTACTTACTTCTAGAATATCTGAAGCAGTGTTAACGTGGTATTCTTTGTGACTCTAGTGCTAAAAAGTGCTACAGGAAAAAACGAAGGGGTCCTTGGTCACTTCAGTTTGGGAAACAACGTATGTCTTCTCTTTCTCCCCTAGAGTCACAGTTCACATTATCACATTCCTTGGGCTCTGAGAAATAGTACCAGTGATGTTTTCCATGTTTGGTCCACGATCCCTTGTTTTGTTTTCAGTGTGATACGTAATAACATCCATGAAATCCAGGTAATTGTGAAGCGTTGGTCATTGGTCTCCGTATAGATAATGGTACCAGTCCCATTAATTGTGGACTGGGAGGTTGGCGTGGTTTGTGTGTGCCTGTGCATCCTATGGGAAGTAGTACCTGAGATTTGGCTCTTACTGTATTGATAAGATACAATTAGGAGTTATTAATTTGTGATCTTAACTAGAAAAAATTTAATTATACATCGTTTTCACTTCCCTGTGACTTATCTGATTGTATAGTTACAGCTCCCCTGGATGCACTTTTTAATTGTTGGCGATTTTTCCTTTCGTATGTTAGAAATACATAAAAAGTATACTACTGTTTCTAAAGAATTACTCTGAATTATGTTACAGATCAAAAATAATGCCGTTGGGAATTTCTTTTGAATTAGCCGTTAGCAGGATTTGAATTTGCTGAGAAAGAGTGGTTAATATATGTCATGTAAATACTTTTTTATATTTATTAGATGCTTGCTTAAGTGTGTTTTCTTCCACTTTTCCTTGAATGAAAATAAATTGAAGAGGGGAATCAACCAGTTTGAAAGGCATTGTGGTATTGTGGAAACGATACGAGCTCTGGGAGTTGGACATGGATTTAGCATGACCTTCAACTCAGAAGAGTCTGAGTTGAAATCCAGCCCCCCTCCTTACTGGTCCAAAGCCACATGCCTAATTCATCACATGACTGTTTTCAAACTACTCCTCAGCTGAAGACTGGGATGAAACCCATCATAGAAGGCTTCTGTGAGAGTTAAGTGAAATGGGTTTGTAGCTCCCAGAGCAGCTCCTGAAATGCAGCAGTTGGTGCCAGTCATTGCAGATTTCCTTTCCCTTCCTGCTTTTGAACTTTGCAAAAGTTACTAGCATTCTTTTTCAACATTGGGTTGCTTAGTTGTGCCCCAGTCTTCAATTAAATTTTAAATAAAGTCTTTATTGGTGCTTATTTTATGGCCTTAAAATTGTCGTAAGTCATGTTTGGGCTTAATAAAGATGTGCTCTTAGAGACCTGACAGTTTTGTGGGGAAGATACCCCTGCATGTGATGAGGAAATCCTGTGCTGAGGGTGACTGGGAGGAGCAGGTGATGCTCTAGCAGGGTTAAGAATATAGAGTAGAAGAGGAAGGAAGCTTAGATGGGGGGACAGCTGGAGCAGTCGTGAAGAGAGTGAGACCTTCCTGGATCTGAATTCCAACCGAAAGTTTGTCCCGTGTTGTCTTGCTCCCGCATGAGTGGTTCCTAGGGCTCCGGGATGTCCTAAGTTCCCTGTGGGTATTGAGCATACCACTGCTGATGCCACGGATAGTTTGGCATGGCCAGTCTCTAGGGATGTATCTGGGACCTGATTTTAAGTAATTCTGCGTGTGACATTAAGGTGGTTGGTGTTTATCCTGAAGGTGGGGGAACCACTGAAAGGCATCCAACAGCCTGAAAGGTGGGTGGGAAGAATCTGCCAGTGTAGGGTCTCTGGGTTTCCAGCGTAGTCTGTTGAAGAAGGTGGATGAAATCATTTGAAGGAGGGGGAATTTGTCTGAAGTCACTAGAATGTTAAATGTGTTGACTTTTTTCTGGTGGGGGGTGGTGTGGAAGGAGGAAGAATCAATTCATCTTGGGTATTTTATCCAAATGTTGAGAGACTGTATGAAGAGACTAATAAAGCATTTTTAATACCATTTGAGATGTTTTTAGATTGTAGTAATGAAAAAGGCGGAACAACTTTGTATAAACTTGGATCATATTTGTTTGCTTATAGTTCCTTTGCATATAGTTACACCTTTATAACCTAGGTTTAATTATTGCATTTGCAGATGAACTATATATTTATCTATAGATGATCTGTGTAGTTATAGGCACGTATATTTATATGTCCTGTATGTCTGTCTGTATATTAATTAATCGTGTGTTTAAAGTAATACTTCCACCTTGTGTTTTTGGTCCTGACACAAGTGATAAGAATGTTCTTTTTCCTGTGTACAAGATTGGTTTGTTGCTGTGAGTTTCTTTGTTCTTTCTCTCTTTTGAGGATCACTGTGGACCCATGGAATTTTGTGTATTCAGTGTGTTTTAACCAGGAACAAGCAGTCATCGTGCTTTTTCCTCAGCTTGGTGGTGGTCCTCTCCGCGTAGTTCTCTTCCCATGGATGTGGCCACATTAAACTTTGAACTGTCTCCTGCTTGTGATAGAAGATACTTGAGGCTCGCTTGGTGTTTTTCCTGCCCCAGCCCCGTCGGCCAGCTCTTCCAGCCCCTTCTGTCAGGCAGTGGAGTGCGGACACCAGAGTATGGGGCTGTGTCCTCACTGCCGCCGTGGTGCTCTGCTGTCGTTGACAGGCTTGGGAAATAATAAACTTTGATTTTGTGTTGGTATTTCCCATTCACATTTAAGTTTATAGAGTTTCTGCTTTGAGTTTATTCTTTTTCTTCTATTGTTAAAAATTTGCATTCTTAGCAACATCAGTTACTTGTTTTTATCCTGCAATGTAAATAAATAGTAGGTTTAAAACGCTAGTAACGGTAAAGTGAATATAGGTTTATATTAGTTTTTTGTTTTAAAAATGTATCCGCGTATGAATGTGCAGTTGCCATTTTGAATCACAAAGTCATTTGAAAACGTTTTCCCTCTGATTTTGTAACCAATTTGATTGTTAATTTGGTTTATTTGAATGAAATCCTTAACTTTTAAGGATTGCTTTAATTTTTTTAACGTATTTTTTTCAGTATGTAAAACATTTATGGAATCCCAAAGTCATAGCTGCGTTGCAGAAGGTATGTTCACATTCTCTTCTGTTCCTCTTTCCTGCACGTTCCTTCCTGCCCCGTTTTTATTAGTGTCTAATTTATTCTTCCAGTGTTTAATTTTTGCAAATATAAGCACACACTTTTTTTTAAATTTACCTGCCTTTCTTAAAAAGAAGTCTGTGTACACTGTTGTTTATTCCTTTACTTAATATATCCTGGAGATCACTTCGTACAAGCTCTTTTCCATCCTTTTGTGCTTGCAGTTCATCTCATTATGAACACTTGCTTCTGTTCCATTGCTGTATAAGTAGTGCTGCAGTGGACAGCTTTGTGGATATGTCATTCTGTATTTGTGCAGGTGTAGTTTCAAGGTAGTGGGATTGTTGAGTGAGCTACATTTTAAAACGGCGGATTTGTATGTCACCCTTTACCTAAAACTTTCTGTGGCTTTCCATTGCTTTAAGAACATGGCCTCAAGGGTACGCACACTTTTTATCCTTTGAGGCCTTGGCCTCATGTGCACCACATCTCCTTACATCACCTGTGCCCAGCATCTCCTCTGCCAGGGAGCGTGGCGTCTGTTCTCTTCCTGGAATGCTCTTCTGTCCTTGTTTTGGTCACTCCTGCCTACCTTTGGAGCTTGTCCATTACTTTGTGAAATTCTTTTTGTATGAGTTTGCAAATTTTATAATAAGGGTAGAATAGGGAAGTTCACTCACTACATCCATCACTCACTACAACCATCAATTTTCTGAAGTTTTTGAAGTTTTTTCTTGGTTTCCCTGAAGTCAGGTCTCTCTCTTAGCGACATTGCTGTCCTCGGCACTTACCCAAATTACAGTGTTACCTGAGTTTGCATAATTTAGTGAATTTTTGTTTTCTCAAAAAGGCTGAGCTTCACGGAAGCAGCGACTCTCCCTGTTTTTGTCCATAATTACTTTTCTAGTCCTTAGGTCAGTGCTTGGGTTGTGAGTATTCAGATACCCTAGGTGGTAGCTAGACTTGTGCAAGAGGAGATTCAGGCTCTGTGGGTAAATGTGTGCTCTGCTGTGCAGGTGTTTGTCAGACAGGTGTCATTCAGGTATCTGTTAACACAGGACACGAGCAGCTTGGAGATAAGGCTGTTCTCTGCGTGCTTGGTGTTGGAGTTTAAAGTCCATAGGACTAGCATTTGGGAAAGGAGGATGGATGTACAGTGGGGAAAAACAGACTGGAAGCCAGAGCGAGGCAGACTGAAGGCTCTGTCAGTTCTGTTGCCATTGACCTTAGCTGTGTCGATGTCTTGCAAAGCTGGGCCTTTGTTGTGGAGCCAGCCGCACACAGTCGGCCCAGGAGGCCAGGACTCTTGGAGCCTGGAGGAAGGTGGAGGAGTTGCTGCAGCGTCACATCAGTGGGGCAGGTGGGGAGATCAGCGGGTGCAAGCTGCAGGCATCCTACCAGATGTGCCGCTGCGCTTGCAGCCTCTACCTGCTGCACGGTAATCTGTCTTTCTTGTGGCCTGCACAAACCAGAAGCAAATGGGAGGGGGAATCCTGGGGTCTGTGGTTTAGCCTAGCCAAGTTAAAACATTACAAAACGAAACAATGAGCTCAGGGCTTTTTTTTTTTTTTTTTTTTTTAATTTCCAGCTCAGGTTCCACATGAGGGACCTGAAAGTTTCTATGACCGCCCTAAAAGTACAAATAGAGTGCCCAGGTTATAAGTGAGCCTTGATTGATAAGGATGGGATCCTGAAAACTGGATGAGAGACATACGGTCAGATTCTGATTCAGCTGGAGACCTGGAACCCCTGAATTCTACTGGGCTACCTTTGCCAATAGAAGCAGCCTTTCCGTCCCTTGCCTGAGGAACTTTACCTCCCTTTGCCTGAAATACCTACATTTGGCTTCCCTTAGGAGCGTCCATGGGGCTCTAAGAGTGCTGTGCAAACTGCGACCCATGATAAGATGAGTCTGCCCGCCATAGAATTGTCTAGTTTGCCATTATAGGGAGAGGAACCTTGTGGGAATGGATATTAAGGGTGTAGAATAACGGTGGAGGGAACATAAAGTTGGGTTAGGCCAGATGTAATGATGTGGACCCATAAGCAGAGATTCTGGATTCAGTGTTGTAGCTCGAGGGGCTAGAAAGGGCTATGCTTGGTTGATTGCCTTAAACAAACCAAAAAATGGTCTCTGCTAAGTGGAGTTGAGAAGCGAGGACTGCCTGTGTGCTGTAGGGGAAGGTATCCGCAGGCTTGGAGTGTATCTGTCACAGAAGACCTGC